GACTGCAGCTAAGGCTTTTCGAGAGGCTTCCAAACGATTAGATGACTCTATGGTTAGGTTACTTTGCGCACCATGTCATGTCTCATCTAGAAAAGTGTATACAAGCGGCTAGTCCACGCTTCAAATATCTTGGAAAAAAGGGTAGGAACCAAATTAGTCGGTAGCATCTCACATCCTGCTTATGATAAGACGATGGGACACTTAAACCTTTACCCAATATCATACCGAAGAGAGGGAAGATGTGCCTTGATTTTGACATATCGTATACTGAATTGTAATTTGGGGACTGACCTTTCTAATCTTTCCCCTCCATGTAGAATACCACAGCAAGGCCAGCTCAAAGTGCAGACAAATAAAGTACGTGTGGAATTTAGATTATCTCACAGAGTGGATAATGATTGGAACTCCCTACCCAATCAAGTAGTATCATCTCCATCCGTGAATGCTTTTAAAGATAAATTAGTTCTCTGCAAAGATGCGTATATTGCAAGAACTAATACAGGCCACAACAGCCTACTATCCTTATTACCTTAGTATAACTCAAATACTAAATAATTCTCTAGATGCAATACAAATACTTGAGAGGTATGTCATTACGGAAGCAATATGATTAGACTAACTAGATATGGGGGAGTTGAACGTATAGGATCAAAGCGGTATACACATGAGACATGACTTTACTACTGTTGGCAGTTTTGCACAAATTAGAATGAAATTGGACACCAGTTCACTTATTCAATCCATGTAACGAAACTACTTCTCATAGCATACACCACTAAAATGACTATTATCAATCTATATATATACGTCTTATTAAGTTTGATCGAATCAAATTTATTTCAGCTTATTCTATTTGCAACTTGATACAAAACGAGAGAGTTACTAAGGCCGAGCGCCTTTTACTTATAATGTAATGTTCGTTATTTACTGATGTTTAGAGCTAGAGTCAGTTTACTTCGGAAGCAGAATCAGACGTCGGTGAACTACCATTTCTAGACTGTCTAATTAAGAGGAGGGAAAATGGACATTTTAGTATACCTACATTCAGGAAGAAAACCCACTCCAATAAATATTTTTACACTTCGGATCATCACAGTCCAGCAGCGCAAAGGTATCAGTTGTTTCAAGTTTTCTTAGGTGAGCACATTCTCTGATAACGGATGAGAAAGAAATATCAAATATTACTGAAACTCTCAAGCAAAACAACTACCCAAGGGACTTCATCAACAAAATCAACTCAGACATTAAGTATGGCCGAAAACGCATTCCGAAAACACGGACATCAACAGTCGTCATCCCATATGGAACAGAGACGTCAGACGATATCAGAAGAGTACTCAATCAGCTCGACATCAGAGTTTTCTTCAAAACATCAAACATACTGTGAAACAACCTTGTCCAGATAAATGACCAAATCCCTAAAGATTCTCTATCTAATTGTGTCTATAAAATAAAATGCTTGCTTGGAATGTGATGCAATAAACACCAGACAAACATCTCGAGAAATCAAAAGAAATGAACACCTGTTCGACCACCGAGAAATCTGGTTGGACTAGAAAAGCTTGAAAAATCATCAGCCATAGCTCGTCTAAACGCTATAGAATCAAGCCACAAAATTGATTTTAACAATATTGAAATAATCCAGAAAAAGCATTTCAGAAATCACAAAGAACATCTAATATCATCAGAAGCACTTCATACCAAGTGGAATCCAAATTGCCTGAATAGGAATGACGGACTAAAACAGAATTTGACCTGGTGACAACACCCACTTGCCTCACTCCATGAAATGACAAATCAACACGAATGTGATAAGCAATTTCATTACGTAAACACACACTGTTTTTATAATTTTACACACTTATCAAATCCAACAATCTACACCTGGTTTTGTTATCTTTACCAGTTTGACAACAAAAAATGACCCCATACTGAGGAACGATGATTAAGTTGTTGTATATATGCTGAGATTTTGTAAATTCTGGATTAATAATCCTTTGATAAAGCTATTAGCATTAAAAAGCGAAGCGTCAGTACAAAGCAATATCGTTTTGTTTTGTATTCATTCACTGGGAAATACAAGAAAACCTTTATTATAATGAATATCACATTTATCCAATGTCCAAATTTTTTCAAACTGTTAAAAGTGAACTTGGTTTGGACATAGATAGAGCTAGAGTCAGTTTCCAAAAGAATTAACAATTCAGAGTATCAAAGAGCATTATAGCATATACCGACTAATTTTAAGTAGTCATGATCAGTAGAATGTTGGCTCAAACACAGAATTCGAGCAACCACATATCAATTCATCGCCGAACGGTAACCAACACAATTGTCTAGGCCTGAATGTGTTGACAAAAACATGTCGGGACTGACTGAGTCTTCAACTTCGCACGGTAAATACAGCAGTTCAAACCGCTACACGCCATTTAGCACACAAAAATGTAGTAGTACGAGAAATTCAACCAGATACGTATGGAAAAGTGAGTGACAAATATGTGTACATCGAACACTCCATGAGTCGAAATACTTTCATTACTCATTGAAAATTTTAAAAAATAACCCCTCCCACACAATGTTACAATTACGTTAAGGATAGAAATCGGGCACCGTGGCAGAATATAATTCCATATCAAACATGCTTATATGGCATAACCTAGTGACGTTTCAGGCACAATTTGTTGCTTATGATCATGTCTATGTATTCACACGGTCGGTCGGTTTTCGACATAGAACTCTGCATATAAGTTCGGCAGTTCAAGTCGCCACACTCCATGTAGCACACAAAGCAAGAGAAGAAAGTAGGAGAAATGCATAATATAGACAGTAAACAGAGGTGTGAGACAAAGGAATAGTAATAACGGAGAACAAAACAGTTCAATTGGAAATCATAAATCACAAGGAGTGGATGCATCTGCGCCAGCCATTGAGAACGATTTTGAGCCATGTCACCAATTGTTTCCAGCCATTGGTTTTTACCATCTCGAGGACCCCAACCAGGAAGTCTACACCTTCCTACGTGGCTGAGACTAACTGTTGTATATTTCATTGACTGGTGCCATGTTTTCGTTTGACCGCTGCTAGCTCTTTTCGAGCCTGAGCCTGTATCAGCTAACATTGCCCATCGAGGAAGGCATTGCCTAGGCATGCGTAACACATGTCCTAACCATCTCAGTCGATGTAGCTTCACAGCCTCGTCGATTTATTTCCCCTCCTTACCTAGCACTCGATCGATGCCTACCATCAATATTGCTCACCTTATTATACCACCTCACGCGGAAGATAGAACACAGACACCTATGATCAAAGACAGCTAGCCTGGCTTTTCATGTCTTCCGCTCTCAATGGCCAGGTCTCACAGCCATAAAGGAGGACGGAGCGGACTGTTGAGCAGTACACACGCCCTTTGGTCGATAGTCGGATATCACGTCTACGCCAGAGACGGCGTAAACTGGCATATGCGGAACTAGCCCTCTGTATCCGTGCTGAGATTTCGTCGGAGATCAACCCGTTGGGGCTGGTGGTACTTCCCAAGTAAGTGAGGCGGTAAACGTGCTCTACCACTTCACTTCCTATTTCTAATCTAGGGGTCGGTGAAGTCCAATCCTGCAGCATTATCTTACATTTTACAGGGGCGAATCTCACGCCAAACATACGAAGATTGTTGCTCAAGGTGTTCAGTAGACTTGTTAACGTGTCGCATATGGCCTTCCTCCTTGTCTTTTGACGCAACTATGAAAAACTTTGTCGGCTTAGGGAACTGATAGATCCAATTAGGAAAAATAGTTTAATTTACTAAATACCATGTAATGACTGTGAAGTCAAACTAGTATATTGGGATTGGTTAAGTTATTTATGATAACACAGAAACTTAGCCAGAGGTGGGATGATTCACCATAATATATTGAGTGACTTGGAATAAAGAATCAGTTATTGTAATGCACACACCAACAGGTAATCATGCAACAGAGCTGGGCATAGGACAAAAGTGCTAAACAGTAGTGCATTTAAGTGATGAAGGACTAACTAAATGGTTTCAACGTACAACTTAGCACAAAAGTGTAGCAGCTCAATTCGCCACACTTCAAGCATCACATAAATGGAAACAGAAGATTCACAAGAACGATAACAATCAGAAATGCGAGGGTGAAAGAGTGGTAACATGGCAAAATAACAGAGTTTTTATTGAATAAGATAGATCATAAAGAGTGGATGTATCTGCGTCACTGAGTCATATTACCAATTGTCTCCAGCCATTGGTTCTTACCACCTCGAAGACCTCAATGAAGCAGTCTAAACCTCCCTACTTGACTCAAACTGACTATTAACGACTCCATGTTTTTGCCTGACCATTACAAGCTCTCTCTCAACCTGATCCTATGTCAGCAAACATTGCTCCTCGAGTAAGGCGATAGCCAAGCAGGCGTAAGTTTTGTTATGAAAAGTACGTTTTATTTAAACAGGGATGAAAACAAACTCATTCATCCCGTTTCATTTGTGATTTTGTTGTACTACACCTACCTAAAAACTCCTGTTATGACAACTTATACAAGCAAATTTGCTATGGACCGCAATAAAATAAAAACACAAAGAATAATCCAAGGTAGACTATGTTGACAAATTCCATCAGACCGACATCTTGTATTCAAGAATCGGAACGTTTTGAATCTGACAGTGTGGTGCGAAATCTACGTATCTTAGCACGAAATACTCCTTATAGCGCGTATTTTATTGGTCACTGAACTAGTTACAATACGGAACATGCGAACTTAGCAGGAGAGTTAAAAAGCCAAGGAGAAGCTATATTGCTGTGGAGTACTGGTTCTCACACTGAGTCATCAACTCTTGGAACCGATTCCAAGGTGAAATGGTGTCAGCGCCGCCAATTGATTTATTCAAGAAGGGTTTGGACAAGCACAGAAATTCACTAGAAAAGGATTAAGATAGGCTTCAAGCCTTCTATCCTCAATCAACAAATCAGAATTCGAGTCGACACTTGCGAAAAGCATTCTTTGCTAGAACTATACCAGTTTTTCTGCCTAGGAAACTTAATTCTGAAAAAATTAATACTCAACTGTGGTTATAACAACGTAACACGCTATGAATAAATTGGAATGGATATGATATTGGACATCAATAATTCACTAAGTCATTTACAAGCACAAATTTCTGAGCATTCTTGGAGTAATGCCTTTGCTTTTTGGTATTCTTCTGTTTCGCTAAATTCCTCTTCACACTCCTAGAAATGATAGGATATTATTTTTTTAAGCAATCATACATACTTCAGCGCAGCTCTCAAGCTTTTTGATAGCATTTTTCAATCGTACTACGCAATCAGGAATCATCCTCTCATTTTCTTCTAAAACTGCTTTCTATATGAAACTAGTTAGCACGAACAAATAGCATACCGCCATTTTTATTTCATATACATCAGCTTGTGCAGCAACTTTATTTTCTACAATTTTAGTTTGCTTAACAATCTCTTCCTCATACTTGGTCTTATCTTTCATGATGCTTTATAAAATAAACAACTGCTGAATTATAGTTACCGCTTAACCACATTGGTATTGATCGTTAGGTTTCTTAGTCTGCTGTCCGTCATCACCCAGAACGACTAAATTAAATACCCGCTCTTGTGGCAGCAATCAAAGGTCAAGTTTTAAAATTCCTATTTTCAGATGGTGATAAATTTTACTGAAAAGTGAACAACTTAGTTCTCTGTTAATTCTATTTAAAAAAATATCTATGGTTGTCTGATCCCTTTTAACGAGTCTACTTCTTCGGTGAGAGAACCAGTACACCAAAACAATATAATTCCTTCTTGGCTTTCAAACTCACCTAATATGTCCTTTGAGATGTCCCATAGTGCTGGAATGGAAAAGAGAAGATAGATCGGGTCCATGGTCATTTATGTGAATTATGAACACCATGATTAAATTTCCACTCAGCCTGCCGTGCGCGAACTTTTGTTGTGTTATGCTCCCCAAAAGTCTAGAGATTATCTTTAAATCAGTGTGTTCTTATAACTGTATAGTTATTAAACATTCATTTTCGTAAACGCATTGGTCATATAAATAAGGTCAAATTCGAATCTTTTTGTCCCAATTCATTCTGTAAAGTATGCCTATCAGAAAGAACGCTGTGAAAAAGTTGTGTCAATTCTCCGTTGAAGAAGGAGTGTAGTGTGATAGCTGCAAGAGATGGTTTCATATTATGTGAACAAACCTAACTCCAGCAGCATATGAGCGCTGTTGCATACCTCTGGCGAACTGGCTATGCAATGACTGCTGTGGTACGACTAAGTTTCCTATGACAGAAGCCGTTGCCACTCTCATTGGGACTCCAAAGTTCCTAGACTGCAAGCGTCCTCCACCCCAGGAGAAGAGCGACTACTACTCAGACACCGATGACGTGACTAGCGTCGTCGACAAAACAATGCACGTTCCTGATGCGTCACTGTTGGGGAGCGAGTGCCCTTCAGCACAGAAGAGCACCCACCAATTTCCAGACACACATGCTGCCCCTAAGATACCGAATAAGCCCTACGGTGACAGTAGTGGAAAGACTGGCACGAAGAAGAGGCGTACCAGGAGTCGAAAACTAGCAGATAGATTCCTCCAGAGACTTGTAGAACAAGCGTCATCCACACCGGGGATAACAGGCAGACGCGATAGACTACGGTTAGGGAGGAGAACGCCAATGAATAATAATAATAATTTTATACTTTCATATAAACATAAATTTACATGAAAATGCATGCCATTTTTACAGGCACGATCAAGTATGATACAATGTCAAATAGTAGATTGTCTACAAGTTAGTAATGTTTGAACAGCTAAATATTTGATATATGTATAAATACACTCTTTGTCTGACCCATGTCGTATGATTATTGAATTAAACAGTAGTCCTCCAGGTTGCGCAGGAAAATCGACTTCATTTCGTTTTCAACCCGTAGTTGTAGGCATACGATAACCAACCAATATTGAGGTAAGTACAACGTTTACAAGGGATAGTAAGCTGTTTTAGAAAAGTAAAGGTGCAAAGGTGAATCATTAAAGTGTAATGAGATAGGTAAATGCAATGTGTCATTAACAGATGCATTCATAAAGGAAATACAATGGGAGACTATAATCCCTAGGTTGACAAAGTTCCTTTGCAATGTATAATGCTACCCTATAGGTTTTACTATCATGTTGTCCACTTTTGGTTTTATACAACTATCCACAAGCCGGTTGTTTTAATTTCATACCTTTTTGTGTTTGGTGCACAACCGTACCCTATAGAGAATAGGAATAAAATAAGTCGAATCAAATTCATAAAGAGCTATAAAATGTTAGGTTTGGTGGAATATAATGAGCAAGTGAAGACGTTATTAGAAAATGTATGAGATGGGACATTGTTAAGTGATATTCGAAGATATGACAAAGGAATGTAGATAATAACACCAATATGGCCACAGTGTCCACGATGGATGGAAAGACACTTACGTTACACAGCAAGGACGAGACAGCAAGCAAACCTGATCTCTCTAACAGGTCGTTCATTCTTCAAAAAGTGGAAGAATCGTTGGCCACCGACCCCGAGGCCAGGTTAGAGAATGACCTTAACTTGATCAAGCGGCTCCTAGATAAGTTACCGCCAACAACAGTATCAAGCATAGCCATATGCAGCTTGTAGAGAATCGGCCAAAAGCCTGACTCGACAGTAAATCAGCCGGTACGCCTCCTCAAGGCCGTACTGAACTTCAGAGAAAAAAGGATGCCATCCTAAGCAACTGTCAGACTCCTAAAAGATCAGGCATATACGTCTGTGCCGACTTAAGCCTAGCAGACCTTGCGGAAAGAGAGTCTGCGAAGCCAGAACTAAGCAAGCGACGTTGAAACGGTGAAAAGAACGTTAAGATTAAGGGTTCTTTTGGTTATAAAGGTTCATACTTTGATGATCCCGAAACCAAACTGAATTGACAGTTTCCTACAAAAATTAACGCAGCCTGTTGAAAAAAGGACTGAGCTGGTTAATATGATAGATTCCAGAAATCCTGATATAATTATCATCATGGAGACATGCCTCACACACGATATCAATCAAAACGAAGTAAACCTGCTAAGCGTTGGAGTGCATAGGGTGGACCGACTAAACCTCAAAGGAGGTGGCCTGGTCATATACCTCAAGAAATGCGCTGCATCGAAGCACTCGCTCACGAAGGTGAACCGTGCGAACTTCTACGCTGCAGACTTTAATGCATAGGCCAAGACATTGACCTCATTGCTGAATACCGCAGTCCTGACTGCAGTGCAGATGACTTCCTAGTAGAAAAATTAGGCTCCTGGACATTGAAAAGTTGGAATCTAGCATTTCGCTAGCCATAGTCTAACATGTCATGAAGCCTACGCACTATGACCCTTAGCACTCCTCTTCAACTTTTTGGTGTGGTTGTGTTCTCTGAGCTGGATGGTGCTTCACTTCACATCGAAGTATGCGCTGAAGATGTTGCTCAGTAGAGCAATGAAAGCTTCGCAACCAAACCATCCAGCTCAGAGAACACAACCACACCAAAATCATCCACCTGAGCTACAAATCTTCTCTATTATATCTACTCCTCTTCAACTCTCGACTTCGTGTTCTTCCATGGTGAGTATGTGGATCTCATGCAACATCTTCCTCCTTTAGAAAGAAGCGATCACGCTGTGCTCGCTGTCAAGTTCACAGCACAGTATCATGGGTCAAGATCCCAGCTCTAACAAACGTGTAGATAACTGATTTAAATGCGATTATTTCAGCATCCAACTCAGTAAACTGGCACATAAACCCGGAATCCCAAGTGGAAGCCTTATGGAACCAGTTTGAACAACTTAACGCCTGAGTAACGGAACTTTTCCTCCCCTGGTCTGTCCCAAAGGGTCGGAAACATTGTCCCTCTTAGATGAAACGAGAGAATCTTAAGTTACTCAGAAATGAACACAAATGATTTAACCTGTTTGCTACACCTGAGACTCCTGAGACCAGGAAATTACACAACACTGCCAGGAACAAAGCTATTGCAGAAATCACCTAATCAAGGATGAAGTTCAAATCACATCTGCCTGAAAATGCAGCGGCACAAACCAAGAAATTTTTCTCGTATACGAACTTCAGAAATAAGACATCCGTTGGTATCCCAAACCTGACCATTGACAATGATACAATCGAAGCAGATCAAGGAAAAGCAGAAGCAACGGCAGGCCACTTCTCCCAAGTCTTTGCACAGGAGTCGTCACTCCCCACAGGATCAGCTCTGGTCGCATCACAGGAATTCGGGATAGATTCCGTCGACATCGACCAAGACATCGTAGTGAACTGCCTAATGAAACTAGATGCAGGACAATCAATCGGTCCTGATAACCTCCATCCAAGGCTTCTCAAGGAATTATCAGCTCACGTAGCCAACCCACTGACCATGATCTTCAAGCTATCCCTCCTCAATAGAGTGTTACCGCGTGACTAGAAAGATGCCATAGTAATTTCATCCACAAGGGAGGGTCAAGACTAAGCCCTTCAGACTACAGGCTTATTAGTCTCACCAGCAATTCAATCAAGACACTGGAAAGAATCATCGAAAAAAGTATCATGGCATATCTGGAAAAGAACATTTTTTACCTATCAAATCTTCTTACTGCAAGAGAAAGTTTGGTCAGATCGACGGACAACAGAAGACCCGTTGACGTCGTCTTCATAGGCTTCAGCAAGGCCTTCAGTAAAGTTCCGTACAGAAAACTACTCATGAAGATGGAAAGTCTTGGTATCAAAGGCAGTTTACTAAGCTCGATTAGGCAGTACCTCATAGATAGGAGGCAGAGAGTTAGGACCAACTTGAAAGCCTCCTCCTGGACGGCAGCACGTAGTGGAATGCCACGTTGCAAGAGGACCTCAACAAATTGTCAGAGAGGTGCAGAGAATGGATGCTGTCGATCAACGTAGCGAAATGTGCAACCATGAGCATCTTACCCGCAAGCATGATCTCCTACAAACTGGAGGGAATAAAACTCCCATCAGCTCAGACTCATTTGGATTTAGGCTTTAAAGTAAGTCATGATTTAAAAACTGTAGCACATTCTCGTGCGGTGACTGCACGCGAGCCCTTATAAGACAAGGCCTGGCTATCAGTTTGCGGTTGTCTAATTTTGACTTCAGATAATGAAGAATGGCAGGTTTTGTGAACTATGTTAATCTTAGCGATATATCTCTGAAGAGAACCAGTTTCGCTTTGAAAGAACTCATCGATGGAACGGATACAGCTTGACTGGATATGGAGTTCCAGTCATTGACAACTGTATTGGTCCGAGGTTTGAGCATCATTTTGAGGCGGCCTCACGAAGGTATCCTAGATCGAGAGAGGAAAGATTTGAAAGCTAATTCCTCACATGACATGTCAGTTTACGGCATACCAAAATCAAGTCACCTCTCCCCCTCTTCGGTATGATAACTGTAAGAGGTTGAAGTGTTCCATCCCCTTATCATAAACAGCGTGTGAGATACTACAGACTAATTTGGTTTCAACCCTTTACTCTTTTTTCCAAGATATTTGTCTCCTTCTTGAAGCATGAACTAGCCGATTGTATAGAGTTTTCTGGATGAGGCCTGGAACATTTTGTGTGGAATACTTTAAACA